ACAATTATAAGATTACTTTGCTATGATGAGGTACTTTTTTTTTTTGTGGATTGCTAAAGAGGTATTGGAAAGAGACTAGGGTAGAAGTGGAGGAAAGGACTTCTGATGTTTACTGCAAGAAGCATATTCAATAAAGCTGAAGGGGAAATGGAGAGGTTAATGAGAAAGCAGGGAGAGGAGAATCAGAGATAATATTTTTTATTTATTTTTTTTTTCCCCCAAGACATGATGTGAAAGAGGAGTCAGAAGAGACTAAGCTGCTGAGGAGTAAGCTACAGAAAGGTCATATAAGAGTTTGTGTCATGAATTGAAGCATCTGTGGCAGCTAGATGGGCTGTAAGAGCAGGGGAAGCATCAGTGTTTGGCTGAGAGGAAGTAAAGTGGATGGTCCTTTCCATGGGCAAGAGGAGTTACGAAGGAGCTACAAATGTGGTAAAAACATGAGGGAACAACACATGAAGCTGCAGGCAAAGAAAGTTCATTGATAACTGAGGATGACATCTCAGGTGAAAGACTGAGTTGTAAAGAACCAGGAGAATCCAGAGCTAAAATTAGAGGGCAAGGCTGCTGGAAGAGGAATTGGAGAGATAAGAGAAGGATTGAAGTGAAAAGAAGTATCAGCTATGGTGTTGTGTAGAGGATAAAGAATGAGAAGGGGAAGGAGGAAAGGCTTAGAGGGAAGGTCAAACTTTTCCACCACAGCCAAAACCAGGAAGGGGAGAGGGAGAAAAGCCTTCTGTAAGTGAAGGTAGCTGCAGACAACAGACAGAGACTTAATCTTTGCCAGAAGGAGGTTTTAGTAGCTCCTGATGGAAAATTGGAAAAGCCTGCTTCCTCAGCTCCCAGAGGGTAAAGAGGGGGATGGAGACAGAATAAACTTAACAGTGTCTATGAAAAACTTAGATACAAGGGGATAGGAATGTGCCATAAGGAAAGAAGGTAGATTATAATCCTTAATATTTATTTTCAAAACCATATTAACCATGTTCACAGCAAAGCTGTGAGAGATCGAAGCATAGAAAGAAGATTTCAGGAGACACTACTTTAAAATATACCTGCCAGGATCCAGGTCTTGTAAAATCATCTTAATTTCCCCTGATTTTGTCTGGATAGAGTTCAAAAGCCTTTTAAATCTTGCTTTGGCCTTCTGCCTTCATAACTGTTTATTTCCTATGACTTTTATCCAACTCAAACTTTGGGGCCTATTTCACTGAGCTGTGCTTTGAAATTTAGCTGAGACATTCTGTCCTTCTTAGACCAATATCTTAAATGACTGGAACTCCATAATGGTATGAACCTTTTTGTGATAAGTGAAAGAAAACAGTGACGCTGGCTGCTTACTAAAAGCCTGGTGTCAGACAAGACAGTCCGACTTATAGACAACCTTCAAACAGAGCTGACAGCAGATGGGACCTTCTGTTCTGCAGGCTTTTGATATAGTTCCACATTTTTTTTCATCTAAAATCAAGACTAAAAATTAAAAATATAAAATCTGACACTTCTTATAACAGTAAAGTTCTGTGAAAAAATTTTGTTGTAACTCAAATTTTCAAAACACTAACCTCTACTTAGTCACATATTTACCACCAAACCTGAATGAATATCTCCAGAGCAGATATCTCCAGGTGAATATCTGCTGCAGATGACACCTCACAGCTTCAGAGTAGAGGTTTTCCCAAGCGCCATGGTAGGGAATTGTTGGTACATCACAGCAATTATGTGGAAAACCCAAGGCTTTTCAAACAGAGAAGGGCCTTCTAAACAGAGCAAAATATTTTTCTGTTGGGGTTTGTGGAAAGAGTGTTTTTCTAGGTGATCTTTCCCGGATAGCTTCATCTCAGAGGCGTTTCATCCCAAGAAAGAGCATCTCTTCCCGTGAGGGCTTGGCTCACCTCAGCCAGGGCTGGGTGGCAGAGGAGGGCCTTGAACCTTGGGCTCCAGAGGAGTTGGAAGAATCTGACCCATTATACTTAGAACCAGAGTAGGAAATTAGAGGTTACCAAGAAAACAGCTGTGCCCTTTAGGTTTTTATTTTTTTTTAATTAGTATATAAAAAAAGCCCTGAAAAGTAATTTCCTTTTTCAACTGTTTACATTGACAAATATTTTTTAAATTGTTCATTGAAACCTGTTGTAGATCAGAAGAGAACTAATTAAATGGAGAAGTCAGAAAACTCAAGAGGAGGGAAGCTGAGGAGAGAAAACACCTCAGGCAGGCAGTTTAAAATTCCAGTGGTGCTTTTCCTAACACCTATTCATCTTTAGTGGATTAACAATTTAGGTAAAAGGCACTAGGGTCAAAGAATAACCAGCTCAGTCCCTGCAGCTGTGGAGACACAGAGACCACAGAAGTTCTCAGTGGGCATGTCCACCTGATTGATGATAGTGAAACACCTGTATCACCTGCTGGTTTTTATTTTGGCTGAAATCTGTATAAAGAAACTTTCCTGTTGGCACTCTGTAAGTTTATTGAAGCCAGTGACTTGGTTTATAATTAACTGGTATGTTTGTATTAATGTTGTTTGCACCAGCCTGCACCAGCCCAGGAAGCAAAAGGTGTCTAAGGGAGGAATTCCCAGTCAGGGTAGGTTCATTGGAGACTGTCTTGCCATCAGGAACCATAAGCTTACCCTCCACAAGCAAAGGCACAACTTGTGTCCAGGGCTGAGTGCCCCTCAGCAGCAGTTTAACCACAGACTGTCCTAAACCACCCATGAAATCACAGCCTCCTAAGCTTTCCTTGGGTTTTACCACATGGACAAGATCTGAGACCTGAAGTCCTCTGCTAGATGGAAGCAGAACAAAATAAGGTGTTGGAATCCTTTTAAGCAAAAGAATGAGGAGGAAATACTGCCTTAGGTAAATAAATGTCCCTCACTTTATCTCATAAGATTGGTTAGAAATATGCTTAGTGGATCATCCCCGTAACAGGAACCTTCAGAAGGACCTCAGGAGCTCTGGTGCACGTATCTCCTCATCAGATCAAAAAAGGAATTTCATATTTTGAGTCTAGCTGCAGGTGGTTCTGCACATGCTGATAGTTTTGAAAAAGGTAGGGTTTTTGTTTGCCCTCTTAAGCTATGTTGTAAAGGTTTGATTTGGTTTTCTCCAGACAACAGCTAATGTGGTGAAAGTACCTCCCTGTTAAATCCTCCCTTGAGACAGGGAGCCTGTGTTTAGCACGAGAGCCACAGAGCTTTCCTTTTAAAGCATAAAAAGCTGTGTCTTTTACCATACACAAGAATTATTATACAATAAAAACACAAGTGTAGACAAGGTTTGTAACTTTTACCAGATGAAAACTTACTGAATTGGGCCTCATAGCGGGTACAGGGATGATCTTAGTGAATTTACCCTATGGCAAAACTACAGCACATTGTTTGTGCTGTGCTTTTACCTCTGGCTGTGCAGAAGAGTTGCCTGGCTGGGGGTGGTAACAGAAAGGACAGATATATAGATAGTTTAGGTGAAGCCAGAAATCTCTCCTCACCTGTTTTATGGGAAATCAAACTGTCTTGGTCTCTGCTACTGTTATTGCAGCAAGATTGGGTATTTGTGCCAATTATGCATCAGCAAAATAATCTCGCTGCAACAGGGCTGCAGCCCAGGCAGAGGGCAGGAAAGCCTTCACGAGGGGATTGCTGCTAACACACACTTGTGTGTGCAGCACGTACATCTGCATTCTTAGACACATTAAAAACAAAAAACCCCTGCAGACTGAGAACTTAGTGTGGGCTAAGCTTTAATGCTCCATCTCTGAGCAATGCTGTTATCCTATAATTTTGCCTCAGGACAGGCTTAGCCAAGCCTGCATACATTTATCCGTATGAATAGCAAGTATTCCATGGAAAGCAGGAAGCAAACCAGGTGGGCTTGCTGGCAGGGGACTCTTGGTTTTATTTACAAGGAGCGAGTGCGTACCGAGTGCCTCGCTCCGTATTCCCTTGTTACTTGCAAGTCCATCTGGTTTTTGCAAAGGCTCTTTCCAGGGCTTGTTGGTGGAATCCTGCATGTTGCTGGCAGCGGGGAGGTCTGGGACGGTGGGCCACACCGGTTTGAAGTATGTCGGCTTAGCTGCTGTTCACTCGCTACCATGGGTAAATGCACTTAGGAGCCTTCTCCCTCTTTCACTTCTCCACTATTTTTTCCCCCCTTTTGCTCGTAGACAGAGGAGCCTTTGAAAGCTTTTGATAAACTTATGTAATTGGGTATGTTTTCCAAAGCACGTCTCTGTTCTTTCCGAGGGCTTAGCTAAGAACATTATTCCAATTCTTCTCTAGGCCTTCAAAAGTGCCGATCCTTTCAAACATGTGCAGTGTGAAGGATTACAAATTTGTTTTTCAAAGGACCCCAAATCCCTGCTGCTTTCATCAGTTCCCCTCCTTGTGCTCCCAGTTTTCTCCCCTCACCCGTCTCATAGCCCCAGCGGCTGCAGGATGCTGATGCTCCCTCTTCTCCTGTCCCTCCACCTCTCACTTTTTCTTCCCCTTTTCAGCTCCCCCCACTGCCAATACTCCCCAATATTTTTTTTTAATATGAAACAAAAGTGCGGAGAAGCATTGCCATGGCAGCAATGCTGCAGCGGGCCCTCCCGTCCGTGTGCATGCGAGCTCTAAACTTTTAATATAATGGCCTGAAAAGAACAGGAAGGGGACAGCTTGAGGCAGAGAAAAAGAGTGAGGGAGAGTGCAAAAGCAATGAAAAGTGGGACAAAACCATTGGAAATGCATTCAGGCTGACATCACCACCCTTTCCCACAGTGGTCATTCACTTAGGAGGCTCCAGTGTCCATTCACTGTCTTAAAGCTAGCTTTCTAGAGCCCTGGGAGACCATCTTTCCCGGCCTGAATGCCTTTTTTGTTGTGAAACAGTGAACTGTTTCTGAAACCCTGCATAAAGGGCTGAGTAATTCACTGCAGTTGCCAGGAAGTCTGAGCCACTTGTGAGCTAACAATAGTTAACTTTATCTGCCGGCCCGAGCCCCCCTTCCAGCTGTAGGTCCTGAATTCTAATAAGGGCTTTACTCATGCCTCTGAGGTTATGGTAATATTTTATACATCTTTTTTCATTAAGACACAGTCATAGCTACTGTTGAGGCACCGGAGGCAAGTGCTGTCAGATGATGTGGGATGGGGGGGGAAAGGAGGGAAAAGAAAGAAAATAGCTTTTTACATCAGGCAGGCAGTTTGGTCATTTTATACTAGAAATATAAACTTCGTTTGGGCAAAATCATAATTTTAAAAAAAATTCACATTACCAACCCCAGAGTCAAGCAAGAGGTTATGATTGTTTTCTAGCTGTGAAACAACCTCAGCTTTCCATAATTCAGGGTTGCTGGTTTTATTTTTTGCTCTCCTTCTTCTCTGTCCCTGCACTGCAGGCATGATGGTGACAAGTGGGTGAATCATGAAGGAAATAGATGAATTTGTTTGGGTTTCCCTTTTAATCCAGATTTGGATGTTGATGCACAGAAAAATTCTTCACGGTGACAGCACAGCTGTGTATAAGCAGTGACACAAAACAGTGATTCATGCAGTGGTTCTGCAATGCCGATAATGACAGTGTGTCTTTGAGAGATGTGGATCATCAGTTTTTTTCTTTACCTTCTGAACTAGTTGCTTTCTTGAGAACTGAAAAAGATCAAGTGTAAGAGGAGTTCTAAATTGTCCCTTTGGCCTCTGGTGTTTTGAAAAAGGAAAGAAAAATTGCTTATTTCTCACTTTTAAGCAAATGATCACTCAGAGTGGAATTTATTTCAGAGCATCACTGTGACCATTCCTGTTCAAGGTGAGAGCACAGCTTGAAAAACTCTTCCATGTCTTTGGTGTCTGTGCCTGACTTGCTGTGCCTTGAGAAATAGCATTAGATATGCCTGGATGGAAATAAAAGCACGTATTTCAAAGTCCCACACAATACTTTATTAATGTTTATAAAAAGTGATGAAAGATGCGAACAGGTTTTGTAAAACTAAACCACAGAAATGTTCCCGATGCATTCCCCTATCACAGCAATAATTTTTCTATCTGTGCTCATGACACCAGCTGATGCCAGTGGGAGCTGCATGTGCTGTGGATGAGGTAACTGCAGGGTCAGTGCATAGTAAATAAGTTGCTTGGCGTTTTGGTTAAGTTCAAGTATTGAATCACTTTCATATCTTCTCTCCAAGTGACCTTTGCTGGGGGAATACCGTGCTCTGATGGAGTGACAGATTTGAACTGGCCCTTTTACTGTCTAACAGCAATGGCTTCTGAACTCTGCTGTGGGTTTGTCTTGCTGAGAATGAAAAGCTGCTTTTGGCAGGTGGAGGCTCACAAGCCATGTGTTGTGTGTGCACACAAGGAGGTGTGCATACATCCACGCCTCCCCAAAAAATCTCTTTTTCCCTTAGCCAGATGAACTGTGAGAGCAGTCAGATATCAGAATTGACAGAGCCCACAGGTAGCAGGCAGAGGGGAGAGCGGGGATGTGGGAGAGACATTTTATAGAGACTTCCATTAATAGTGAACTAACTGTAAAGTTATCAAAGCTATCCCCATGGTCCTGACTGAAAGCTCTGATCTACTGGTAGTGTGGCTTTCTCTCAGCATGGACTGCTTCTGCTCTTGAGCTGAAACATGTGAGCTGAAGCTGCCTGTGTTGCGTTTTGACAACCCATTTAAATAAAATTAATCTATTTGCTAATCCTTTGTAGGGAGGGAGTATAAATTAGAGGGACTAAGACCATATGATGGAGAGAAAAGGAATCCAGCTTTCTAATTTACAGTGACCTTCAGGATTCACTATAAACCTTTCTCATCCATAAATGAACATTTCTTCTAATTCTGGAGGTAAGTTTTGAAGCATGAAAAAAATCTGTCCACTTTTTTACACGTCCAAATGCAGACCAAGCACTTTTGAAAGTCGTGACCTGTGATCTGGACTTAAAATTTGTCCCTTAATATATTAATTTGTCAGATGTGTCTGTATGATGCAATCCCTCTCCAATCATCTCCTCCATTTCAGAGCAATGTAAATACTCAAAGTAACTACATGCCTCAACCAGATCCAAAAGGATTTCATTCTCTCACTTCAGGGGCTATCTACCCACCAAAAAGTGCAATATTGAAGAAACGCCATCAAAATTGGGTGTGATAGAATGCCAGAGACAAGCCAAAATAGACCGTGAAAAATATAAAGTAACACTCCTGTATTTCAAACTGATAGGCCTGACTTCTTCTGGAAAAAGATAGTGACCAAGAATTTTTTAAAAATTTCTTGATAATCAAGTCAAATATTTTGCACCCTGTATTGTGAAACCTCAAAACCTCAGTTGTGGGGTTACCTGGGATGGAATGTCTCTGGGCTTTTATGTTTTACTTGTGCTTTCAAGTTCCATAAATCAGTCTCTTTCATTTCAGTGCCCTACTCAACCCCTTTTGGCTCCTAATGCTTTGTCCCCTGCTTTTAGTGACTTGTTTTTTCCTATTTCTAAGCCTGGTGTCTCTTTCCTTCTCTTCTGACAGGCCTTTCTCTCACTCTCAGAGTTTTCATTATTTAGCAGGATTCTTTATTCTCTTCTGCCACCTGGACTGTGTCTCACTTGTTCTTGCTCACTCCCACTTCAAAGGCTTCTTTGTCTCCAAACCTCTCCTGTTGGACCTGGCTTTCTGTTTTATTAGAAAGTTCTGACTCAGAAAGCCTCATCATGCTGTGAAGTACCATCTTAGCTCCTGGTAATGGTGTTCTATAGCTCCAGAAGTGCCCAGGGTTACCTTGGAATCCAGAACTCTGGGGAGAACAAATAGCTAGCAGCTCACTCGGAGCTCTGATTTTCTGACAGCCTCTGTCCTGGGAGCAGAGATGTTCAGGTTTGCCTTTCCACGAGACTCCTGTGTGACAAGATCCAACAGCTCTGCACCCATCTGTGGCTTGGGGACAGAATGGAACCCCAGAAGCTGAGCTGAAAGAAAAGACTAACCTTTCTGGCACTGCTGTTCCATCAGACCTCAATGGCTCAAAGGCTTTTCTACATCTGGCTTAAGAGAAATCAACTCTAAGCCAGAAATATCAGGGGAACCTTAGCTATAGTACTTGATACTGGTAGCCACAACATTCCTCCTCACTCTCCTCCTCGTACAAGGGCCAAGGAAAAGCAAGTGTCATGAAAGCTATAAGAGAGTTTTATATATGAATAAAGGAGTGTTTCACTCTGTGACAGTTCTTAGTTAGAACTGCTCTTACAAGGAAAATTGAGGCAGGAAAGGCTTTTCCTCTTTTTATATCTTTAGAGAGTAAATATTCTAAAATAAAACTGTGCAAGAGACAGTAAAGCCAGTGAAAGTCTCTGTTATATCCAGCATTAGCATACCAAAGTCAACGGCATGAACCCAGCATGTGGAGTTTGCCTGTTCATTAGCTGAATTGCTCTATTTTGATGGTGCACTGGTTTAGCACTGATGTAACACCTTCACAGTCGAACACTGTGAGCCTGGTTTGAAAGACTGTAAGCGTTTCCTTCAGGTGGCCAGGCAAGCAAAGCGAAATGAAAGCTGCTGGTGGGTGACAGGAATAAAAATACAGGATAAGAGAGTGTGATATTTCTCAGAGCCACTCTGGGAACTCTGCAGGAATCCTAAAGAACACATCCAAGCTGAAAGGAGAGAGGAAGAATTTTTGGCGAGAGGTGATGCAAACAATTACTGTGCAAGAACCAAGAGCAGGCCTGCCTCTTGGGGTTTTTTTTTGGTTTTTTTAATGGCTCAGGGAATAGGTTTGGCAACCCTGTTTTCTAATTTTTAATGCTCTGTCTATCTAACACAACCAGAAGACTTGATGGAAAATGCCACTTAAGAATTGAGCCATTGGTCCTTCATTCAGAAATTTGATGTTTGTCCAGCTACTCTCTCAATTCATCTTTGCTGGTGAAGTTTAATTTCAAACTCATGTGTGTCTTTCGTTTCTGAAGCAGGAAATATTAATCACTAAATCTGATTGGTCTCACTGCTGCTTACCCCAGGGCAGCTTTTTTAGCTTATGAAAACTAGTGTCAGTTGACATTGTCATACACATGGCTTGATAACTAAGAGCTGAAGATAGGCTATTTCCATTTTAACTAGACAATAAAGCAGAGAAGCTGATAAACGCTGAGATAGGGCAGATTTCAGCAAGGAGGTTTTATAAAATGAAGTTTGTCATTGGCCTCATAACCACCCTATCACTGGAAATGGAGCTGCCTATGCTTATCCTTTTAATGTTTTTATTAAGAGATGTCACCAAATGCAGGAGAAGACTGTGCAGCCATCTGAGACAATTAAGGGGGAAAAGGCTTATTGTTATATAAATGTCCTTTCCTCCCACTTTTGCAGAGCTGCTCTTGATCCTTTCAAAGCAGTCTCCCTTCGAGAAAAGAGGATGCTGTTAGCTGGAATCATACAAAGAAGCAATTACAACAGTTAGTCTTTTATGTTAATATTTTAGTCCATTAATGCTATTATTACTTATCTAGCACAAACTGAATGCTAGAGGCTTTTCAGATAGCAAACTTATAGCGCACGGGTGACCTATGCAAGAGGATGTTTTGAGCTGGCATCTGAATTAGGTGTTGGCATGTACCTGAGGAGATGGGCGCTTGCCTCCTAGCTCTGCAGCAGGGGGTAAGCCAGGCTAAACAAGCTTTTTCAAGTTGCTCCGCTCTCAGCTTTGAGGTACAAGGCCTGATCTCTTCTCGGTGTGTTACTTTTCCTGCTGGTAAAAGAGATGCTACTCTGATTTGTCTCTGTGTCTTTAGATTTCAGAAGGTGTCACGAAACGTAACTTCCTGTGTAGATAAGGACTACTTAGCATACTGGGACATGCTCTCATTAAAGGCCTTCCTGCACTGCTACTGCATGATACCTCAATAAATGCATTTCTTTCTCTGCCAGAACACCTTTTCATTTTCTGTACTCAGTTCCACAAACAAGCACTGAAATTTAACCTGTATTTTTAATGAGTTTGCTCCATACCTCTATTTAATTTTATTTATTTGTTTATTTATTTATTTATATTTGAAGGATGAATATTTTAAACTAAACAGAAATGGAAAGGGGCCTGCCAAGTAAAGGGCTTACAATGCTTAGAATGAAGTTTATTGCAATTTTGTCCATTTTTCCCTCTCATGCGCTTCCTTGAAGAGAAGTTTGAATGGAAAATCAGGCAGAGTTGATTCTTGATTTCTCTGGTTACCACTGTAGAGGAAAATTCATTACACCTAATTGCCTAAGCAATTGCCTAAGCAGGTAATACCTTCAGCTCTCAATAGATAGAATTTTCTAAGCTGATGTACTCACCTGTCCTCAAACAAAATCTCTGAGAACTGGAGATGAATGGTTGACCTGGTCCAGAGGCTCTTCACCATTTTGCATGGGAGGACTGAGGTTAAGCACCTCCACAGGGTTATTGCCACACATTCACACTTCAGAGACTTCCCTTCAACAGAAGCAGCAGGTTAAAAACAGGGCAGAAAGGAAGAAATAGCTGTGTTTCTTCTGAGCCTTCCCACCTGCTCCAGGAATTGCACATGCCAAAACAGAGCTCACACAGCAGAAGCAACAGGAGTGGACTCAGGACATCAGGATCAGGGCTGGTCCTGATGAACTGGAAAGAGGTTTTCCAAGTGCCCTGGGGCATCCTGTGGCTTCACAGACAGAAAAATGCTAAACAGGGATGTGTTCAATTTTGAGTTTAACAAAGCCCTTTCCAAAGTTGAATCCCTGCATGACATTGTGCTGTAAACTCTGACATTAAAGACTGTGAGACTCAAGGTTCTATGTAGGGGCAACTCTGGGCAGCCATCTCTCACTCCTAAGCCAGTCCCCTTGGGAATAGTTGCTTCCATATTGGGGAACACGGGTTGGGTGGTCAGTGGCCCTGACCACACCACCTTTATACAGATCTACGAGATACAGACATATAAACATAGTGCCTGTGCTTAAACTGAACATCTCTGAAGTCCTTGGGCATATAGTGCAATTCAGGGTTTGGTTTAGCTCAAACAAACAAGCAAACAAACAAAAAGAACATGTTTGGTTTGGAACACCTGCCTGTGGCTGAACCATATCACAGTTTTGGCCCTGTGTCGCTGACTGCAAACTAATCTTCCTTTATATGCAGGTTGATGCCTGCCTGTGTGTACACACAGGCAAATGCAGAGAAGCCTCGGGGGAAGGCGAGCAGTCAAGTGGGGAATTCTGCATGTTGGGAGCCCACACAGAGCCCAGCTGATGAATAAATAAAGGAGTGCTGGCTTCTGACTGAGCCAATTTCTTAACCTTTGAGATCATTAACGACTTCTCTCTTCCACTGGAAAAAAAAAAAATAAATAAAAAAAGAAAGCCAGCAGTTCCTGTATTTTTCTGAGACACAAGCAAAGCATTTAGCACCACAAATAAGCTCATAATTTGACAGGCAAAATGCCCGGAAAAGTGAAAGCAGATTTCTCCCTCCAGGTCCCTGAATATCATAGTGATCCTTTACTTGGTTTTCAAATGATGTTTCCTTTTTGTTTAATCACAGGTTTGGGTCAAACCACTCCAAAACACCATGCCTTGCCCATGTGCATTTTCTTAACCTTAAGTATGTTCACAGTTTCCTGCTTTGCCAGCAAAAACAGACACCACACAGAAATGCCTACACATGTCCAGAACTGTTGCTGAGTAGCTCTCATTTTTAATTTACCTACCATCCATCCATGGATTTTTTTCCCTTACGTGCAAATCCAGCATTCACAGAGTTGGCATAACAAGTATCCAAGAAGCTGTATTTGCTGTGAAACTCAGCAAAAGGAATTAGTTACAGTATGTGAACAATAACTTTATAAAGAACTGAGGCTGATAAAGGCCACGACCAGGTAGAATGTTCAAGCCTCTAGAAAATGAAGTAATGCTGTGTCTTTCCCAAGAGACTTCCAGCCAAGGAACACAGTGTATTCTCAAATGGGCTGAGGAAGCAGGTGGCACCCCAGGATAGGGGCTGGCTGCCTCAGTTTCCTTGTTGGAGATAAGCCTTTGGGAGCTCTCTTGGAAGAGATCTAGGAGGATTATTGTACATCCCCAGCCTTTCTGAAGGACCAGACTTCCCTGTCACATCCAGTCCTGGATAAAAATGATGCTTCATCATCACTGGGTTTCCAAGGGCTCATCTAGGCTCATCAAGGGGTCATCTAGGGAGTTGGTTCAGGACAGATAGTAATGGGGCATGGGGCTTTGCTGCCTTGCTGTGTGCCTGCTGCTGCATCAGAGAAAAATGATAGTTGTGTTTGCCTTGAGTTACAGTAAGTGAAATTCTGACTGAGTATGGAGAAAAAAAGAGCAATGTGAGAGTGGTACAGCATTGAAGCAAGTGCCCACCAAGGCTGCGCACCTTCCTTTCTTGGACAGACAAAACTCAACTGGACAGGCCTCAGCAGCCTGCTTTAAGTTTAAATTTAGCCATGCTTGAATGGGGTTTGGACTGGAGACCTACAAGGCCCATTCAACCTAAACTCTGCCATCATGCTATGAGAGAGAAGGACCAGATGAACCTCCCCTTTCCATGTCTCCCCTTCCCTCCCATCTGCTCTCCCTCCCCCTTGCCTATACATCTTTTGGATTAGCATTTGACTACTTTTCTGTTATGAAGGAAAGTTTTGAAGGTAGCTCATCACTCCACATACACACCTGATTTTGAGGAGAAACCCACATCCCAGTGGCAATTTTATGCAAAGTTTTCAATATTAAATGACTTACTGAAGATTATGCAGTACACTGGCAGCAGAACGTGACTCTGGCCTGGTAGTCTGAGCACTGACAGTTTGTAGCCAGATTCACACCTCTTTCTGCCCCTCTGAGGAAAGGAGAAGGACATTTCTCTGGGAAGCCTCTGTGAGGTGCCTGGCACCATGGTGAAATGCCAGTTGTGATTATCCTGTGTAAACCACCGAAAATCCATGTGTAAAGGGGCAAAAAGTTAACCTTAAAAGTAACCCCTACCAATCACATTAAAGGGAGAAAAATATTTAATTTTGTTTAATAGTCATCAGGGGAGGAGCAGACTTCAGTCTTTCCAATTAATGTTTAATAAAAACTTTATAAATTTTCTTAAGTAAAAGTTTTAATGTTTCACACCTACTTCTTGGATTCCAGATGAACTCGTCTTCTTTGTTATCAGATTTTGCATTTGCTTCTGGGATCTCTTTTCATTTATTTTTGTTTTTTTAGCTGCTTTTTGTCCTCTTCTTCCTCTTTTTGCCAGTAGGTTCTAGAGAAGTTTTCAGGCTGCAGGACAGCTGGTTGAGTTGCGAGTAGACGTGGAGCTGCTTCCCCTGCAGCCCTTGGGAGCCCCCCGAGCTGCTCACACTCGGCGCAGAGCAGTACCCAGCAGCGCCGTGCCATAATTCATTCATTAATTAATCGCGTCCTAATGAGATGCATGGCTGAGGTGACTGCTGCAGGAGTGCTCTAGGGAGTAAATACAAAGCCAAGCCCTGCTGCCATGTGGGCACAGCCTCATGGATGGCTTGTGTGTCCCGGCTGGTGGCAAGCACATCCCAAAGGGCAGAGCAGGAGCAGCAGCGGGGCAGCCCGGAGCTGGTCCTGCTTCCCCAAAAAGAATTTCTTGAAATGAAGGATAAGCCCCTCACGATGGGACACCAGGGATAGGGAGAGGTGGAAAGGGATATTTCATTTTGATCAGTGTTAATTCTTGTATTTCAGATGAATTTGTAAGCATCTTCTTCCCACTCTGGATTTTCACTTTTTGCCCTTCCTTGAAGCTGTGAATTTTCCTGAATTGTGCAAAACACAGGTCCTTACTCAGGTTTTCAGGTCAGCAAGAAATCTGTGATCGTCTAAGATGAAATCGCTGTGACTTTTCCCAGAATTAGTTTGTGATATGCCACATTCAGGGAATGCATCGCCTGCACCTTCGAAGCTGAAAGATGAAGTCGAGGGAATATTCTGAATTTGCCTGCATGTAACAGTGGCTTATTTGGCCAGAAGATTGTTATATGGGAAATCAAAAATTATTTCTGAAGTTGATTGTATTATTCTGTCACATAGGGGAAACTACAGGCATACTTCTCTTTCACAAGATTTGATTAATTCCTGTTGGTTTAATCACTGCTGGGATGTGCGTCAGGTGGGGATAGAGTGGGACAGGGAAGAGAGAGGACCCAATAGCAGGCAACCATTTATGATTATCTCTAATCATAAATTTTCCTCACTGGAAGTCACTAAAAGGCCTTGGCTACAGGATGATGTTCTTACACTTATTTTTTTCTGCTGTAAACAACAAAACATTTTATGTACAGAGTAGGGAATATGGATTGTCATGTCAGGACTCCAGATTACTTCACTCCTCACGGTAAAGTGCTGCAAGTCTGGATTTGAGAGGTAGCTGGTATCATGCTGCAGGGTCATGATACAGCAAACAAATCTCTGCGGAAATGGAGACACCTTCCCTGCGACAGGAGTGCCACTGCCTACACAGCTATTGGCAGTTTGCAAAGCATGTGCAATCGGTCATGGGGATAAAGGACAGAAATATTTCTAGATGCAGTGCTTTCTTGCTAATTTCAGGATTGTCCTACAAAGTAATATGACCAGCCCCACCAGTTCAGCCCTTGCATGTTCCCTTCTCCCTGAGAAGTTGCCTTTCTTCAAAAAAGAACAGTATCTGTCAAGGACTACTAATCCCTATTGCTTGCTCTCAGGGGGTCCTTTCATGTGGCAAGAAAAGGCCACAGCTTAGCTGAGTGAAAGTGGACTGATGTTCTCATTTTTTTCTTCTACTTTCCTTTTGTTTTACAATCTATTTAGGATTAGAAATGTACTTAGCAGATGTAATTCTCCTGAAATGGAGTTTCAATCAAAAAAAACCCAAAAATGGCCTGACAAGAAACAATCTTAAAAAGTTTGAAACTTCTTGTTTCAGCAGTCTTTAATGGAATAGCACTTAAAAAAATAGCCCATGAAATTTCTTTGTTTTGACATTTACCAAATGAAACTTTTGGACCTTTTGTGTCCAAATGGCATTTTTCATTTCAAAAGGGACCTAAACAAGAAGGAAACAAAGTTTAACAAGAGAACTAAACACCTGGAGAATGAAGCAAACATTTCATTTTGGGTTGAATAGTTTAGTCTGAATTACTCCATCAAGAAACTCAAAATAATTTACTATAATCAGAATGGCATTTTCCTGATTTGTCAATAGAACAAAAAATAATAAAACAGTCTCTTATACACCTCAGCTTTGACTAAGGACAAAATAAACATTTTTTAATTTGATTTGCAGCTGCAGCAGGACATGGCAACATAGCAAAAGAGCTGCCTAAGATGTTTCTAATTTCTGTGGTGAGTGGGAGCAGATCAGATGCAAAAACACAACAGCTTACCCTGCCCCACAGCTTTTGGTGATGTGAGAACTATAGCTGCAGATAGTAAAGCAACATTAAAAAAAAATTAGCTTACAACTAAATTTCTGAGCCAAGAGGCACTACCTATAGCCACCAAATCTTTTCAGCTGTTGTCTTCTTCTAGCAAAACACATCCGTAAGAACTATAATTTTGTTGCTGAAGCCCTGCATTACTGACCTGGTCGCCTCAGCTTCCTTGGAGCTCTTTTACCACATGCTCCTCAGTGCTGTGGCTGCTGCCCATGTGCAACGAGCCTGGGGGCTAAAAATACCCATTATAAATGCTATGGCATAGCAGCAGCATTTCTTTCTCTGTATGAAATCCCTCCATGTGGATTGTGTTACCATCCCACCTCAGCTAGCACGTGCCGTCTGGGATTAACTGGCCCATGAAACGCGGGCCTGGCGAGGACCAGTGCAAACCCAATTCTGCCCACACTCCAGAGCTCCCCTTGAGGGCATTTGGGAGGCTCAAATGTGCTCTTCTCCAGTGCCTTGTCTAGGGACTGTTCCTCAGAGGGGCTGGAATCTGTTTTACTTCCCCTATTCTGGTATGGTCCAGACTGGGCAAGCGGTGGTCATCATTGTCCCCCTCTCTAGTCCCCATAGCGACTTCCCCTTCAGGCTCCCTGGCATTTGAGTTCTGTTGTAGTTTTCCCGTTTAGTGCTGCCACACAAACTTCCATATGAAGTCTTTTCTCCTCTTTGGAAGCCTTTCACATCTTTGAAGGGATGGGAAGGGCATTTGGTGTGGCAGAAGTATGCAGACAGAGGAGGGGACAAGTATGTAAGAAACTTAACTTTGTGTAGGTTGTCTCATCCAGACACTTTGTCACTCCAGACACTTTGTCACACTTTGTCATTCCTTACCCTGTAAATCTAGTGTAGTCTTACCAGCATGAGTAGAGGTTTCTTTTATGTCTGTGCATGAGGTCAACATTTGTAATGTAATCTGTCCTTGCCATTGTATGTATGTGTATGTATAAAAGCAGCCACATAGATGCTTATAAACTAATGAAGTTCAGCAACTCTGTGAAATTTGGAACATACATGTCACTGTAGTAGCTTGAAAAAAAAAAAAAAAAAAAAAAAAGTGATGCAAGGCTCAGCCCTTTCAGGCTACCCCTTGTTGTTGCAACAGTTTCTGCAAGCAGGGTGGCAGGAGGGACTGGGTGACAAGAAGTTCGTGATGAGGTTTGGGGCCCTTCAGCCTTGGCTCTCTGGTTGAGGTGTCCAGCAGTGCCTGCAGCTTTCTTCCATCAATAAGTTTTTTATTTGTGTTATTTCTTCTGGACAGAGACCCCTCACAAACTGTCAGACCCTTTGTTCTGAGCTGAGGATCCCTTAGAAAAAACTTTGTGAATAGAGTATAGGAAAGATGGCATTTCTTTCTTTTTTGCAGTTAAGGGCCAAGGTAAACTGGCACCAAGGGCACAGCTTCACTTCCCCTGCCTGTGCAGCGAGGGCTTTCGGATCCTGGGTATATTTGCAGCATGTTTCACGGACACTGTCACTGGGTGTATAAAAGAGCAGTTTATTACAGCAAAAGCTCTGCTGATAGCATGGTGCCCGCAGTGAACTCACAAGGATGGCTGGATTATTAAGGGATGTAAAAAGAGCCTTTTAGAAGTGTCACTCCTACACACTAGGGTACAGCAGGAGGTGCACAGCGGCGGTCTGTGTGTCTCTCACAGCAGGGACTGTTGGCACAATGGCGTCTGTTTTTGCTGCCTGTTCAGTATTATTTGTTTTATGTTGATACTGTCAATGCACTTAAAGAGATTATATATTTTTTCCCATGGCATAAACAGAATGACTTGCATTTTGCAAGGAGAGTAATGGTAATGAGAACTCAGGCTTCAAGGGGAAATGATAGTAAGGTTGACAGCAAGGAGAAATAAATCTTAAATTCGACTTAGTCTGAGCTGACTGTGATTTCCTTAAATAAATTAATAAAGCCAAGTCCCCATTTCTTACCTTATGAGGATGGGGAGAAAAGGGAATCAGCTGTGACCTTGTAGCAGGCAGTGTTTTTAGTAGGTGATCTCTTACCATCAGCTCGAACCAAGCTTCAAGCAAGACATGAGCTTGGTAGTTCTCCTCAGGCCGATGTCAAACC